CTGCAGTAAAAAAGGAGTTCTTACCATTTGCAATAGCATGGATGGAACTGGAGAGCATTATGCTAAGTAAAATAAGCCGGTCAGAGAAAGATAAATATCACATGATCTCACTCATTTGTGAAATATAATGAACAACATAAACTGATGAACAAAAACAGATCCAGAGACAGAGAAGCATCAATCAGACTGTCAAACCTCAGAGGGAAGGTAGGAGAGGGTGGGGGTAAGGGGGAGAGATCAACCAAAGGACCTATATGCAAGCATATAGGCCTAACCAATGGACAGACAACAGGGGGGTGAGGGCATGAGTGAGGGGGATGAGGGGTAACGTGGGGATAAAGACACATATGTAATAACTTAATCAATAAAAAAATTTAAAAAAAAAGAAAGTTAAAAACTCATGTTTCCTTGAACTTAAATAAATAAATAAATAAATAAATAAATAATTTTTTTAAAAAAACACCAAGATAAAAGTCCTAGCACTCTGAGATCCTTTAAAGTACATAGGGACTGTCACATCTCAGCAATCTGCTAATGCTTCAAGGCCCTATACCCATGTCATCAGGAGAACCCCAAGTTATTAAGAGAACATTCAATTATATTCAGTTACTTTGTAAAAAAGCAAATAAGTGTACCACAGATTGCTTCTTAAATAATTTTATCAAAAATAACATAGAATAATTGTTTTCAATTGGCATCAGAGAGAGCTTTATATGTATCATGCATCTGCTAGTCAACTTAGCCTTTTATATATAGAATAAACTTGCTTATATTAGAACTGCTTTCTGATTTAGCTAAACTTTTTCCAGCCCAGTGAAGCACCCCAACTTCTCTTTCAGGTAATTGTCAGCAACACAGCAGTGAACAGTGTCAGGTCAAGTTTCTAAACTTTCTAAATCTCCATTTTCTGGCTAATGAAAAGAAAATAGGATTCTACCGAGTCTCCTATCTACCTACTCCAGGATTTCTGTGAGGATCAAATGAGATGAGGGGTGGGAAAATGCTTCACAGACATTTGGCTAAAGTGTAAAATCTTTGCACCTGGCTAAAAAGCAAGTTGTGTTCCTGGGCTAAAGAAACTCCAAGGCTGCTAGTTGTTAGGGAGAGGAAGATGGGCATTGCTATGTGACGTCATTACCTGGCGCCCACAGCCACCATTTCTGGGCTGGTCTGGGCTGTGGGCTGCATTTGTGTCTATGGGGTCTTGGCAGCATTGGCTGCGATTTGGTGGGGTGCCGCTCCAGGGTGGCGGTGGGGCCCATGTCCCACTTGGGGAAGCCGAGTGTTGCTTTGTGGGTGCCAGGTCTGCGGTGCCGTTTCTTTGTAAATGGTCAGTGTGCATCACAGCAGCTCCTGCATTGAGCATCTGCCCCCTGGTGGTCAGTGCGCGTCATAGCAACCAGTCGGACTGTCAGAGGAACAGTTAGCATATTAGCCTTTTATATATATAGATGTTCCCAAGTATACTGTTCCCACCAACAGATTAATGAAGCCACTGAGATAGTTATAGACATACTAGAGATGTCCAAAAAAATTTTATGACAAATAACTGCCTATTAAATGTGAACATTACACATTTGAAGTACATATACTCTTGAATATACATATATTCAACCTACCTATCAAATTATCATGTCCAAAGATTTGAAATATTTCTTCTCTAATGCTTTTCCTCCATATGAAAACCATGATAGAATTTTAGAGTTTACTTTTCTCATTTTTTAGGAAAAATATATAAAATAAAATTACTAAAGTAGTGGGATTGAAACTGAAATGTGGGGTATTGAGTCCCAGTTCGTTGTCTTGTGAAATCAAAGAAGGACGTTGTGGACAAAAACTGTTAGCAGAACCAAAGTGTATTGAGAGAAGCCAGTCCTGGAAAAGGGGCATCTGAGGTTCCCGAAACAGGCCAGTGTCCAGAGCTTCCTTTCCATGTTACCGTCGGGAGTTCAGCATCCAAGCTAATTAAAGTCGATTAGTCCATATGTGGAGGCCCACAAGGCCATAAGCCACATGAGCGAGGGGGAGTGTATCTCCTGCCATTAACCCAAGAATATAGCGCTCTGGGAGAAAGAAGCGCCCAAGCATTGTTGTATGCTTTGCTATATGCTTGTTAGTTCCTCATTGGTCCTTTCAAAGAATTTCACATTAGCAACATCCTTGGGATTAGTTTATACGCCTTACTATCTGTGACTGGTTATCTGCAAGCTGCCTGTGTTAGCAACATTCATACATTTTAAAGCTCATGTCTCCCAGGTGTGCCCTTCCATCCTCACCCAGTTGGGGTATCTTAGTAACTCAACCTAGTTGGGTTCCTGGTTTTACTTCGTTCCCCTCCCCCCCATGGTCCCTGTCCCTGTCTACCTAGCTTTCTTCTGTTTCCTCAGGATTATTTCAGGATCTTTTCTTTTTTCCAGTACAAAAATTATGAAGAAAACATTGCAACAAAAATATTTAACCAAGTTGAGGCTAATTCTGATGTTCAAGGGATCTTAAGGCATTTCCTCTCCTCTATAAAATGTGGCTTCTGATAAAAGGTTTTGTTTCGTGCCTATACCAAGCATATGAATTATAAGTACATAAAATATAAAGTATCACACATATATGTCCACTTATCAATTAGTGGTTTACTGCTCAATTAAATATGACTAAAATGAGTAATTTTATCTTAGAAAAAAAATTTGAGCAGAAAATGAACAAGATTCAAGAAATTAGGTTTTTGCCAAAATGTTGGAAGTACTATGCCAATTTAGTTTTTAAATGTGAGCTATTTACTTTTAGCAAACAGAGTAAATGAAGGAATAAATCTGTTTGCTAAAAGTAATAGCTCACATTTCCACTTCTTTGACTGCTTAAGTCTTCACGGATCCAAGACTGCTACTGCTAAACATGTAAAACCAGTATAGCAATAGAGAATATTAAGTATAAGGGAATAAAGCATACATTCCTTTTTTTAAATTTAATTGTGATTTCAGAGAGTAAGAGATGGAGAGACAAAAACATCAATGATGAGAGAGAATCATGGATCATCTGCTTCCAGCATGCCCTCCTCCCCGCCCCACCAGGAACTGAGCTCCTACTTGGAATCAAACCACCACCTCCCGGTTCACTGGTCCGTGAACCACGGGGCCACACCGGCCAGGCCAGGCCCATACTACATTTCTTCTTCAAAAAAACTAAGCCATAGAAAAAGGATGGGAAAGACCATTTAGGAAAGACAACTAAAAAAACATGCTGCCATACAATACAATCTTAGGACTCATTTAATTTTATTTAAAAACATCACCTTGAGAATTTAAATCAAGGACTTAGGATCCTAATTTTAAAATGAAAAAGAACACAAAAGAACCTATTTAAAATATTAATGCTCTTTAGGAAATTTTACCTAATTATTCTCTGGCTCTTTGTGGGTATATTTTAAGTATCCCCAAATTTTATACAGCTCTAAATAAAGTGGAGAAAAGTGTAAGAACCATAATTAGCCAGGTGATTCATATAATTTCTTTCTTATCAAGTTACATAATTAGGGAAGCCATGAAGTAAATTTTATCTTCCCTAAAAAACCAAAAATGCATGAATAGTTAACATTTAAACCTTTGACAACTTATCTTTCCTTGATGATCAATGGCATCATTCCAAAAATGTGGTTAAGCAATGAACTCAAACTCTATTCAATTGTGACTGTAACCATGACACCTAAACAATCAACTGAAAAGTGAAAACATCACAAGCTGTTTTTATTCTGCAATAACATACCCAGGATTATGTATACAGGTGCACTTCTCAACTAAATCTGATAACGTATATTAAAATTTGTAGATTCCCATGGTCTCAAAAGCCCAGACAAAATAGATTAGGGCACTGCTGTAGCTACGCTTTAAAACATTAAAACCTATGCTAAGAGTGAATGGAACACAAAACCATAATTAAACATTGTGCTGGTTAACAATACTTGCACTTCCCTGTTCATTACTCAATAGGTACACCTGAAGTTTTAGACAGGAATTATAATTAGAAATAATGAGAGAAATTTTTTTGTTACTGTACCTTTAAATTATGTTAGACTTATTCTTTGAAATTACTGATTATCCTATCCTGTTCATGTGAGAACTTAAGAAAACCTCTCATATCTGTGCCATCTTTACTAGTACACATGAAAAAAACTGTGTAGATACAAAAAAGTTTCCTACAAATACCACTTTATATAAAAACCACTTTAGTCAAACATGTAAGTAAAACTATGCATTTTATTCATTCCACCCAGCTGAGAATTGCTCTATTATACAAATACAGTATTGTACAAAAAAATCACAAAATGTTACAAAATAAAAAAGTACAAACTGCGTTACTTAATAAATATGACTAACAGTAGTTAAGTGGAAATGAGATAGATTTTAGGTTGGGAACATTGTTTGACCCAGCAAACCGTACAAGCTCTGTTTACAGACATTTTTATTTGTACATAATACAGGGCAATCCTATTTTTCCTTTTGAAAGAATTTAAAAGGACTTAATATTTAGAATATTAAGACAATAGTCTCCTTTCCTGCTATAAAATAACTGCAAAGGTTGCTTCGAGGCATCCATCCTATTCGTTTTCAAATCTCAGTTGAATCCAAGAAGCTATATAAAGCAGGAGGCTTTATCACAAAGTTTTACACCATGTTAAAATTCTTTTACAACAAAATGACAAATATAAATAAAGACGAATGAGAGCACCAATCTACTCTAAACATCAACCAGAATAATTAACCACTCTGCCATCAGCAAATATCAGACTTTCATTCAAGTTAAGAGCTGGCACTCAAAAAAAAAAAAAAAAATCTTCCCACAATCTCCCCTTACATATTATTTCTCTTTAAAAGGTTGACCATTTCTAGAAAAATAATGATTTCAAAAACAAATGTTTCATCAAAATGGAATGGGCCAATTATCTGATAACATGAATGTATCAATCTCCATTTGAAAAAGTATCTAAGACTTGTAAAATTCAAATTCATCAACATAAAACAACTACTAAATCACAAACTTGATTCAAATAAGCTTCCTATAAAGCACTTTTTTCTGGATTTATGCCGGAAAGCTGTCAAAATGGAACACGTCATAGATGAAGTTACACCAATTTTTTAAAATGTTGTGCAAAAATACCTTTTTATAGAAAATAGATTACCAGGAATGAACAAATATATACACTGTGAGAAATTAGCTTGCAAATTAAGTAGTGCTGACTTTATACAGCAAATTATAAATAGCAGTAGGATCATACAAAGCTATCATGAAGCATCGTTTCGGTGCCCAGCAACCTTCAGCTCTGAGAAAACATTCAAAATTAAAAAAAAGCTTAAGGCATTACACCTACAGTCATCTACTATTAATTTTAAAAGTGCTATTACCCTGATGAGAGTTCGTATAATTCTCCAAACACAAATTATGTAAATGCACTTTCCCAGGGTGTAGGTTTTCAGACACTTCAAGAGCATGCATTTTGTTCAATATACATTTTGGAGAGGGAGATGGCCATGGATTTGGCAAGTTCTTCGTCGCGTTTCCTTTGCACTTGAGTCTGTCTGCACCAGCTGTCATACTCCGGGTTAGGATAGGAGTGGTCAAACACGGCATCATAATGTCCATTACTGAGCCAACTGAGCCAAATACTAGGCCGTCGAGCATCCTCCGGGCCCAGGTAGTGAATCATCGTGGACACGGTGGGGCTCTCCAACCTCCCGCCAGTCGTTAAGTGGATGTTCACATTCAGCATCTGCCCCATGGCCAGCAGCTCCGGGTACCCGGCCCAGGCCCCGTCCTGCGCGGCGGCGATGATGAACTCCCCCACGTCGCCCTCGATCAGGGGGCTGAAGTGGTCCAGGTGGTCGGCGATGTAGTGCACCGTCTGCTCCCGCAGCTCCGGGTGCAGGCTCTGGTGCCCGTACATGGTCTTGCTGACCGCTCGGTAGAGGCAGTTGCCGTCGGGGATGATGTGAAACCGGTACTTATTCCTCTGCCGCAGGTACTTGTCCTGCCTCTCCACCTCCGCCAGGTACAGGGCCAGTTTCTCGTCCCGGGCATCCGGTCGGGGGGCGA